TTTGGCCAGAGTGCGTGCAGCGGAAAGTTTTCAAGCTGGGCCTCTGTCCAGGGAGAAGTGAAAGGGTGGTGTTTTGCCGTGAACCGCCCCTGTCACGAGCAGCTGCTGGGAACTCAAAGCAGGCAAGGAACAGAACGCCTCATCCTCGTCCCACTCCAACATCGGAAAATTCCTGCGCAAAGACTAGTCAGTGCTCAGCTGCTGGCCAAAAACGCGAGGCTCCGGCACGACCCAAAGTGCCCGAAAGCCTTCACTTCGCAAGCCTGGTGTCGGCTGAAAAAAACACCGAGACCTAACAGTTGTATGATTGTCCCATTCTGGCGTGTGCTATCCAGCCTAGCTCTGTTCCCATCAGGTGCCGGAACTTGCCCATGGACTCTTGCCTCAGCATCAAAACCAGGACCACGCCGAGACCAAGCAAGCCGACAGCTGCAGGAAGGAGGCGTCTGCAGCTTCTTGCCTGCGAACCACCGCTGTTGTTACGGTTGCTTCTGGTTGCATCTGCTTCTTGAGCAGAAGTCTTTCTTACATGTCAACCCCTGTTCTGAATTCTGATTACAACATGTATTTTGTACTGAACAAAATAAGCGAGGAGCACAATCCTACAAAACAGCGCATGTCTTTTATACTGTTCCAAGCTGATTGAAGCATGTGAAACCTTTACGTTGCAGCATGTGGCCAGGCACGAAAAGGCCCTGGATTTTCGTATAATTACTACTGGAGCGGAGCTTTTAAACATGTATGTTACTCTTGCGCCCGGCCAAATAGGTTGTGTTCTACCGCATAATCGTGCTATTTACAGTCTAGGCTGACTTGCCGCTGCGTGCGCCTGCGATAATGAGCAGGAGGTCCCCTGGACCACATCCTCCTGGCTTCGCTTTCGCTTTCCTTGGATTTCTGCGATCCAACACGGAGTCTGTAGTCAAGTTAATGCTGGAAGGTTTCTCAACCCACTTCACGTAGTCCTGCCAGAAGCGGGACATGCTCAGTGGCTCCTACTGAGGATGGAGATTCCTCGTCAGTGAAAAACTTCTTCGCAGAGCAGTCGTAGGTCCCATCGGGGTTGATCTTCAACCACACCAGTGCACTTGCACCTGTCCAAAACAGCAAGCGGACCCAGCAACCATGCTGAAGTACATGATGCCAGTCATCGGCGCACATTCAAGATAGATTGAAGCCAACGCATGGTTTCGATACCCTCCACGAGCTTCAGGGATTTGCCAGAGCTCAGGAAATCTACAAATCTCCGGTTTTTGTGAACGGCGCCGCATCGAAACAGTTTGCTTTCATGCAACTCACAACTCCGTCTGCCATCTCTGACCTGCTGAATGGAGCCCGAACGACCATGGTTCATGATCCGCAGCGGGCTAGTAGCTTTCTTTCGCCAGGGCTGCGGTGGTGGGGATTCACCCCTCCACCGCGCTAGCTTTGCTTTGCTTTGCTTTGCCTAGGGCTTGAGGCGGGGGCAGGCCCC